GTGACAATTTGATTATTATTTATTTTTATCTAGTGTGTCAAAGTAGTAGTTTTATTAATACTTACAATTTATTGAACTAGTGTTCCAAAGAGGCAGTTTATATTTATTATATTTTTATATTTTGCATTTAATTATTAAATATTATTGTTTATTTATACAATACAATCTATGATAACTTTCTCTAGTCATTTTTTCTTTATTATAATTTTCAGTTATCTGCTTATTATCTGTTTATCAGCATATTGTTTGTACTATCCCGCACATGAAATGTTAAATTTATACTTAAAATCATTGTTAATTAGTAATCATATTTATATGGATTCATTAATGGCAACTAAACAATATATAGTAAATTTAACAATTAATTATTTAATGTTATTAAGTTTTAAGCATTTGAATTATGTTATTTCGTAATTAGAGAGATAGAAGATTCTACAATGCAGTATTGAAAATATAATAAATATATACCTGCTAGGACAACAGCGAACAATACTACTGAATACGGTATCTAAATCTATAAATTACACTGACCCGCCTACTGTTCTTAAAAGATCCTAAAGTTCTGTTTCAATCGGTTTCCCAATACTAAAGCTGTTTTACTTTATAGAATGTATAATAATTCTGCTTTACAAAACAAAACATTTAGAGGTGGTTTGTTGTCAATGTTTCGATAACTTCACACCTCTAAAAAAGTTATTGAATTTAAAATGATAAATCTTCTCGAGGGTGGACAGCTGATCTAGTTCAAAAGCAATAATTTAGTTCATCCAAGATAAATAGAACCTATAAAATATGAGTTATTGCTGATAAATTTGAATTAGTGTAGAGAAAAACATTTTAACATAAATGAACTTTATAGTATAAAATAGTGTATTGTAACGATATCAATAATTAATTTAAATGATTCATCAGCTTGGTTATAATATATTATGTTAAATTAAAAGTAAAATTTTATTGCGTAAATAAAAATTAGTAACAATATTGAAATTTTCGAAATTTACTGAATTAAAACTTTTCTAGATTCATATTAAAATAGACAGGAGTATAATTAATAATTTCAAGTTTAATTAATCATAAAGTATTTAGTTATTTTAAAATTTATATTGTACTTAACAAGAAAAGCTATTGTCAAATACTATTATTAGTACCGAAATATTTTGTTTGTTATTGTTTTGATTAAATAATCTTTGAACTTGTATTAATAAAACAAAGAATAATAAAACTAACTATTTATCATAATTAAAAAGCAGCGACGAATTTTAAATTAACAAAATATTGCAATAAATTAAACTTAAGTATGAAATATAGTTTCTATATTTAAATATATCATACAATATAATATATTACACAAAATTATAAATAACAGTAAATAATAGAACAATGTATAAATCATACACCTTATGTTGTTGATGTTAAAATTATCTTTATTCAAAATAAGGATAACGACTTTAAAATAAGCAACAATCATTATTACCTGTTTCAATATCGTTTACGTTGAAAACCTTTAAATTTTGATTATTTTAAAAGTACAATATATCATCCTATTTTAAATCATTAAAATTTAATTATTTTATCGAACAATAAAAATAAAATAAATTAAAGTTGGATGTACTTAATAATTTATTGGTAAAAAAAAATGAAAGATTAGTAATTTTGTTGAAAAGTGACTTCACTCAGACGTTTGATTCTAGATTCTAAGAATTTTATGATTATAAATTATATTTTCTTTAATAAAACTCTAAAACATTCTAACATTTGTAGTTCTATCAAAATAGCAGATTTAGATTTCTTAATAGCATAAAAAAATATCAAATAATTTTATAGTTTGTTTGAATATTAATTCTAATTATATAAAATTATTTAAAATTTTTATTCATTGATAGTTAGAAAATCAACACTTGGTATATCATTGGTGGAACTTCTTATAATATTAACTTTAATACATAGCTAAGATCATTAATATTAATATGATGTACTTTTTTTTATCTGACTAAAAAATTTTCAGCTCTAACTGAATCGATATTGCTAATTAATATGTCAAAAACCCGAATTTTATATACTTGAAGATATTGCCTTCAATTATTGAAAAACATTATTCTGCATTTTTTTTTTTATTATAGAAAATAAAAGATAAATATTTGTTTATCACAATACACTAGTATTCTTGAAAATTACTCATTTTGATTTTTAATTAAAAAAAAAAATCACTGATCTAAACGAAATTTTTATAATATACAATGTAATTTATTAAGAATAAAACTTTTGATTTTTCTGTTAATTGATGATTTTTTTATTAAAATATACAGATTGAAATTTTTTTTTTTTTTTTAACAAAATTTTAATTATTACGCTATCTGTTACAATATTGAACAATAAGCTTAAGTGATAACATAAAAAGAAAAAAAAACAGACAGAAGAGACCTCCCATCGGAGGTACTTCAACATGAATATTAATTTAAATTTAAGGTATTAGTCCTCACAGATTGAAATTAAATTTGTTTTCATGAACCATAGAATATATAATATTATTGTATTCAAAAATTAGTCTTCAGAGTATATTTTAGGGGTAACTTTTGAAATTTAAATGGGAATCTATAATTAATTTTTACTATTAAATGGGAGCTTGATATTTGATAGGTTGATAACCAATATTGTGTAGTTACTATTTGAGATATTCGCATTTCAAAATATAGAAAATATGATAAACGTGGTGATGTTATGCGATACTTTATTTTTACCATAACGTACAGATAATAATTCGTGTAGTTATGCGCCCTCTTGCTTATAACTAAAAATTATATTAACCCAAAAAGTAACAAATAATCATTGTAAAACATTCTATTTGGGTAAAAAAAAGTCAATTATCTACAGTAGTGGTTAAAATTATAAAACATCCCAAATATTATAATTTACGTGTTTAGATTATGAGTTTGTACGCAATCGTAAACGTTTAATTCATCAAGTAAATGCATGAAACTTTTTTCTTTATATAATGCGTTCATAAAATTAAAAGAAAATTGCTTAATTTGTATTAGTTCCATTTGCAATTTAATTTTTACTTAAATTTTGGTTAAAAATGTTATTTTTTCAAATATAGCTAAATTCATTCATTAAATCATTTTAAAGGCTTTCTAAAAAATTTTAATTAACATCCAACTGCTTAAATTTTTTTCTATATGTTTTTTGGATAATTAAGTTTGAAGAAAACATTTTCAAGTCGATTCAGTTAAAAATATTCAAACTACAAGCAAATAATGAGATTTTTTTTATCCAAATAAAATTTCTGTCAGATATTAATCTATACTGTAGTCTACTAAGCTGAATCCCCACAAACTAGATTTTTATTCATATTTATTATAATATAATAATTATATATAATATTAATATAATATATTACATTAATATTTCTTTCAAATAGTTATAATTTAACTTTAAATCACTCAATAGTGTATTAAATATTTTAATAGTGGTCAGTTTTTTACTAACAACTTTTCTGCTCGTCTAATAAATTTCAAAATAGTTATTTACCATTAGGTTGTAGGGTAAACAACTTGTAAACTAGTTCAATAGATACTAAAGACTTCGTGTAAATGATCACGAAAAAATCTTTTCCCATAAAAATTTTATTTTTAATACATAATTTAATAATTAAGTGATTCAATCACAATTTGGTCGTTAACATTCATTATTAACTTTAAAATAAAAATATTGATTTTTATACAGGAAAAATATATAAGTCTTTAAAATGATATTGATTTAAAAGGATTTTATTAGGTACTAGTCTATAATTATTGTATTAGCTCTAAAACCTTTTAACTACTATTATTATACCTTAAAATATCAATATAGTTGTCACTACTTAGATATATTGTTTTTTAGTTTTAAACAATTTGTACAAAATTCTATTCTAAAATTCGTAAGGCAGAACTATTGATTTTTCATATTATGAACTATAAAAATATGGATAAATAAGCAATATTTAAAGGTCTGTTTTTTATCAAGAAACTTTAGAAACGTAGAACTTTCTAAGCTTAATGGGATATCATTACAATGTAATAACCGTACGTGACTAGAACAAAATATTTTTTATTCCAACATAAAATTTAACTTTAAATTGTTATGCTTTTACTGTTACTGACAAGTTTTATGTTAATTATGGAGTAAAAACTAATACCTACAAAATGTCCTATATTAATAGTAATTTTTGTACGGTATTGCTTTCATTAAGTAACATCCTATATTTTTAAATTTTCAAAAATATGATTACTTAAAAAAAATAAGTTTTATAAATCGTTAAGGATATAAAATATACAAGGAAAATTAGTCTCAGTGAAAAAAATTAATCACCGACATTAAATGGCGTTTATGGACTTAAATCGGTCGTCGAGGGTAGATACTTGTATTTACCTTCGACACGATCGTTTTAATTGATTTAATTTAAATAGGTTATTTTCATGAAACTCCTTGGGCAAGTGCTAGCTAGTACTTGCCTCGGGGGTTTAATGAAAATAATATATTTACAAAAATAATTTGTTTGCTTTGATAGCCTCGGATGAGAGTGGAATTCCTGCCGCTACTACCCTACAAATTCATTTTTAAAAAGGCATGTCAACATTAATTGAATTAAAACGTTTAAAATGGTTACGACATTGAAGTCAGTGCGATATTGCCATTTTATCTGCATTCTTTTCAATGGCGAATTAAATTTCCAAATAAGTAAGTCGAATAATAAATCGATGTATTACAAGGAACTTGTTCGAAATCAATAATACAATAAGAAATGATATAAACAAAAATATAATTGTAACACTTGTAACATGATATGGACTTTAAAAGAGTTAATCGCGTTAAAAGCAAGAGCTCTATTGCTTTTGAGTCATAGTTTATATTTTGATCTTATCAACGTCTGTATACTTGTAAATACATTTTGCCCAATATTTGACTAAGATAAAATAAGGCTTATGGCATTTTCTATATTAAGTTATAAAGATGAGACTTACTTATAATACATGACGATCATGACAACGCCGGGTATCCAAAAAGATACCGACGACGATATGATTGCATAGTACTTATTGACAACGAAAATGCACGACATTGGGTTTTTATGTCTGAACTCTTGATGCTCGGTGGTGGTGTACCATCCGAAGAAGATGGGCAGGAACGATATTAGAGCAGGAAGAGTCCAAACGTTGAGCAGCATGTAAAGCACCGTACGCTGTGTCATGGTGATCGGGTACTGGAGGGGACTGACAATGGCGTAGTATCTATCGACACTGATGCAGCATAGGTGCAATATGGAAGCAGTTGAGAAGTATACGTCTAGGCTGTTCCAAACGTCACACATGACGTATCCAAACATCCACTTGCCTGTTATCTCCACGCTGGCGTTGAACGACATGGCACACAACGCCACTAGAAAGTCGGCAAACGCCAGTGAGACCACGTAGTAGTTAGTAAGTATTCTTAGCTTCCGATGCCGAACTACGCTAATCACTACTAACGCGTTGCCGAGCACCGCACACAGTATTATAGAGACCATGGCCACAGTCTTCAACACCAGTACAGGACCTACGGCGGCTGCTGGTCCGGTGTTGGTCTTATTCGAATGACCACCAGCCGCACATGATGTGCACGTTCCATTTCCGGTTTTTGTGCTACCCACCTCCTGCGTTTCGTACCACCACACCGGATCCATGGACTGTCCACCGACGATCACATGGCTCCGGCTGTCTGAAACAAAAGGTCCAAAATAATTAATTTCTATTACTTATAGTCAATAAGCGTTTTACGATTATTTTACTATCATAATATTAGGAAATTTCGTTGGTGTTCTTTATTACAATTATTCACCACAATTACTTATAATATACATTTATCACATATTATTTAAACTTCCATTTATTTAGATTAAACTTATTTAATTATAGTTACGATTACTTCATTAGTAAATTATTTTTCCTTAAATTTTCGATGCTACTGTCAATGAAGTCTGGAAATGTCGAGTAGAGCTAACTTTTTTAAGTTTTAATATTATATTGTTCTAATTGACCCCGTTAAAAATCCAATTATCGCCAGTAGAGTCAACCTGGTTCATGTTGGTCCCTCGTCATACAATTCCCAGTAACGAAATGTAATTAAACTTGATTATTATTCAACGAGAGCAAATCCAACTTAGGTTTAATGATAAGAAAATGATTTATGACTCAGATCAATAATTTAATTAAGTTAAAAATTAACCAAGTCCATAATAACATATTAATATAAATAATTATTCAGTTATACAAATAAAAATGCTTTGGGATAAGGCGGCAATAGCTCTCATGATGATTTTTATCATAAAATTTTTGATGACATGGTAAAATCATTTGAGCGCCATTGATTGGACTTTTATTACGATATATTTGAATTTGTATAAGAAAGGGAGATATTTTGAAACTTTTTAAAAAATACAGACCCTAACTTTCTAAATAAGCAATTTCACAAGAAATAAAATGTTGACTTAAAAAAAAGTAGATAAATTAAATTACAGAAATTGCTTTCAGCATATATTGAAACGTCACGCCTCATATGAGGTTCGCATGTAGAATATTCATCATAAATGCTTGAATAATTATTTATTATAATATGTACAATTAGAATCCATCTATTTCTGGCTCCTCCTCCAATTCCGGGGCCCTACGAGCTTCACGTGTATTCGCCGCGCAAGCTTCTTTGGTTCCTAATTATAAGTCCTGGTTCTATTTGTAGTATCCGGTTATGCCGACACGATAAGTGATTTGCAAAAAATTGTTACATCAGAATCAGTATAACAAAAATGTATTCAAAGTTTAATTATTAAAATCAGGATAATTTAAAATGAAAAAATAATAAAATGTATTGAGTATAATGTTGACGTTTGTTTACTGATGTATTCATCCAGATATTATTTTAGGAGATTATTTAATTTTTTTCTATTTAGTGGAAGTTTAGGATAAGTGTGGCCGACCTCAAATAGTTGGAATCAAGGTAAGGAAAATAAAGAAGAAAATATATATATATCAATAATTTTGATTAAATATATCAAACAATATACAATTGTAAACATATTGAAAAAATTGATAGAAAATGAATGTATACTTAGTAAATCAATACATGTATGAAAATTATAACATGAATTGAAGAGAAAAATTAAATTGATTTAAAGTAACATTTTCTACAAATTAAAGGTCAAAATACATTTGCGTAAAAATGCGCCAATATCAGAACAGATTAGATTAATTTTTTTATGATATTTTAAAAATTTTTTTGAGCGAACCTGGTAAAAATGTCTATTTTATATCGTAAAATGCTGACTTCATTTTGCGTTTTTCTCGAAAACTGTTGAAACTTGAAAAACTCTCCGGCAAGCGAAGAAAATTTTTTGACTTTCTTCAATAAGTTCCCGGAGACTCGTGACCAAGTACTTTCGTTGAAAAAAAAAAATTGAAAATCAGAACACGCTAAGTAATTTTCCCAGTAATACGTTTTTTCTTGTTCTATTTTACAGAATGTTCAGGAAGTACGAAACAGTTCAGTTGTTACAAACAATGAGAAAATAAAAACCTGTTTCCTTACTTACATAACACTCTATATAATAAGAAGATACACAAATTTTATTGTATACAAAATGTATAATTTTTATGATAATGAAAGGATTTTTTTATTTTTTTCTAAATAATTAATTTAATAACTTAATTGAATTGAATAGAACAATCGATTTAATTTTATACTTATTTTATAAATTAAAAAAAAATTAATTTATTATGAATAATTACAAACGAATTAAACACTGTTTAATTTTTGAATAAATGAAATGTCATATTTACAGACTTGTAAAAAAATTTGTAAATTTCGGATTAGAAACGGCTTACTTTATGATTTTGATAGCTATAACGTGTGAGCCAAAAAATTTGAAAATATCAGAGAGCCCCAAACAATTTTCGTTTAGGAAGGTCAACACCGATCGCTACCATAGTGAATGGTTGAATGATAATCATATTACTTTATAAGCTTTAGTATATGCATTTTTTAAGTTAAATACATTATAAATGGTTTTGAAGCTACTTATAAATGTACACTCCGATATTTTATCACTTGTCACGCAAACTTTTTGTTTTTAAAAATATCGTTTAACAGTACTTGAAGAACTTTTGTTTTAATAGTTTATGTGTATAATATATAGTAAAAAGATTCACTTTTTGGTAAAATATTGCATTATACTTAACGGTTAATATGTATACATCTTATGTTTTTATATGTCTAAGTATTTTAGATACATAAAGAAAAATTAAGAACACACAACTAGCTTTTATAAGTGATTTATAATTCAGTTGCTTTTGCTATATTTGTCATGTTTCTTTAAAAGGCTTTAGTTGGGTATAAATAAATGAATCCAAGCTTCTATTTAGATATCATTTGATTAATTTGTGTTTCAAGAAATAATGAGTTTTGTTAATTTGCTACCAATTACCGGATCCATGGAATTGTTTATTTGTATCGTCGCCGTTTCAATGTACTCAATTATTTTTCGATTATAATATTATTATAAACGCAACGGATTATATACATTTCTCTTCGCAGAGTCTTTTTGATAACGAAGAAATAGATCCTTTAAGAGCGAGTGGACATCTATTTTGCTAGACGAATCATTATTTTGGCTTGTCAGTTAATACGTGATCCTGTAGGGATACTTTTCAATTCCACACACGTAGTGATAGTCATAGAGAGTACACCAAAAATAGTATAAAGTATAATACTCTGTTTGAGTAATGTTTTTTGTTTGTGTCTAAAAGCATTCCAGCAATAAAAACGTGTTACATTGTCAAAAAATATTAAACTTCATCGTTAAACAGTCAAACTTTTGTTATATTAAATTTTTTGAAAGCATGACACCTTGTTCTATAATTTTCTGTTGAAAATACAAGTAAACTATTATTTTTTTTTCAAACCACAGCAAATTTCCGCCATACAATAATACTTGTTTGTTTTGAATTTTCCTTATGGATTTAAATAGTATACAGTTATAATTGATACAATTGATTTATTTTCATTTGTAATAAGTTATTTAGAAATAGTAAAATTAAAATATTATAAGCTGACTGAAAAATGCTGGTGGACTATAATTTTTCACTGCATTTTAAATTAATTGTTTTATTGAAAAAATTACAAAGAATTGGATTTTAAAATGAAAAAATATTGGTTAAAAGTTTATGATTAATTTGATATATTTCAGTATATATTTTAATTTATTCTTAATAAAATGTTTTCATAATTTACGTTATGGACAAAGAAAAGCTCAGACAAAAAAAAAAAAAAAAAGAGAATGAAATGCTATACAGGAACAAACGATATAGTCATAAAAATTGAATTAATTATAATATGACTTTGCAATCCTCTATTACAAAAATGTGCTGAAAAAAGAATAAAAAAAAATGTCATATCTTTGAGGTATAAAATGTATAAATTGATGTTTGTAAAAATGGAAACGACGTCTAAAATACTGAGTAGGCGCAAAAAAGTTAAAGCTTTTATTTGTGATTTATGTCACATTTCCATAATGAAAAAGTAGGAAATCATTATTTTTTATATATTTTATCATTTTGCAGAATAAAATAAAAATATTCCATATCAGTTTGATACGATCACATAGCGACGTAACAAGTTATATTACGTTATAATTTGTAATCGAAGGTTTACTTGAACTTATAGTATTTACAAAAGAATAACAAGATTGGAACGATTTTTTTATTCGAGGACTTAAATAAAACATCGCCAAAAATTAGTATTTTGTACCATTATAATAATTAATAGCTATTCTTATCTCGCGCGCAATTCTCTGTAAATCTTATTGAAAAAAATTTAATTTAAGATGAATGTATTTTTATTTTTTCAAAGCGTTACAATAATTAATATTTTTAGCACTTTCGGTATTTACATTGTGAACAGTAATTTTAGAAAACAAAGTACTTAAAACAACAAACATTAGACAGTAATGTGGAATAACTATCGCCGACCGAGTGAGATTCCATAATGCACGTCTTAGTTCAACTTTGAAAATTGCTTAGGCGTATTACAACATTAATGTATCATCACGCTTAGTAAAGTTCTTTGCTAAAATGTTTTAATATAGTGTATACAATGAGGCAGTCTTTCGGTCTCTATGTACATTAACGTATAGGCACATAAAGTACGTGCTGGTTAAATATCGCACAACTTATTGTTATTACGCGAAGGATACATATATTAAACGTTAGAGTTGATTTTGCAATTCAGAAACGCAAAGTATTAAATTTGATAAATAGCACTTGCATATAAAATGGTATCGGCTGTCTCTAACTCGAATTCACGTGTGTAAATTATTAAACTCAGAAATAGTCCAAGTGTACTATTAACAATACGAATTCGGACGCAATTATACTTTGTGCATGTATAAATAGAAACAAAAACTGTAAACCGTTTGATCGTTTGAGTCGCAACCAAAAGAATCAAGAAGAGCTCATAATCGTTCGTCGTGTAGCTTCCATTTAATTACAAAAAATAGTCAGAGACATCATAATTATGTTCTTTAAAACAGTAATATTATGGTGTTTTATGAGCTGCGTCGTTCGTCGTGGACAACAAGGCGTAGGTTGGCCCTTTGAGGTATATATTTATCATCATTTGTGCGAATGTTCGTTGTGGATTTTTTGAATTACATGAAACGATTTGGCGCT